CCTGTAAGTGTGCGTGCGAGTCTTACATCCAATGCTGCACCTAACAAAATAAATTATCTAGGTTTCAACGATTTTATTTTATACAATCCAACGTGCTTTGTCCAGAGGTAATTAGCATAGTTAATCTGTATAGTAAGGTGGCTGCTATAAACATATTAAAATACTAGCTAGGGTACCCTATCCTGGATAGAAGTTATGAAAATTCATGAATCATGAAATGTTATATTAGGACATTAAAAGTTGCTTCCCTCATATGTAATTGTAAAAACCGCAAAACACAAAATGTGAAACCTTAAATCTGCATGTATCTCCCCGTGGACCCAACGAATCTCCATATCAAATTTGGTGAAGATCCATCTACAGGGGGCAAAGTAGTGGTAAAAAACGCTCATAAAAACCGCAAAACTGAAATTTTGTATGCAACTCCCCATGGACCCAATGAACCTCCATACCAATTTTGGCTAAGATCCATCCACACTCTGCGAAGTAGTTACATGGACAGACAACAGACAGTATTGTAATATTTACTAACATATTTCCCAGCAGAAATACCCACCCTCCGGTCAGGTTTGTTTGTCTGTTTTTTGTTATGAATTTCGCGCAAAGCTACACGAGGGCTATCTGCGCTGGCCGTCCTTAATTTAACAGTGTTAGACTAGAGGGAAGGCAGCTAGTCATCACCACCCACCGCCAACTCTTGGGCTACTCTTTTACAAACGAATAGTGGGATTGACCGTCACATTATAACACCCCCACGGCTGAAAGGGCGAACATGTTTGGTATGACGGGGATTCGAACCCGCAGATTGCGAATCGAGCGCCCTAACCACCTAGCCATGCCGGGCCCTCCGGGCAGGTATAACTGCTAATTCTTGCGGAATGCTGTTGGGCCTGCGGCCTTTTCTGGTATTGTCGGACAGTTCTACAACAATGTACTCGTACTTGACATTCAATAATGTTCACCATCCATGAGAAAATGATTTTATTGAAATTTTAATTTTAAAATGAGCTATTATCTCAGCATTACATTTTATTGGAGTATTTCTTTGTAGACACAGTCATCAATGAAAGTGCCTTGTTCTTTTGTTGCAACACTCATGAGATTTTCACTAAAGAAAAACAAATAGTTTTTTTTTTTTAAAAGTTTGGTTTTTGATTGTTTTATATTTGAAACTTACTCATTTGGTTGCCCCCCAGTGGCACAGCGGCATGTCTGCGGACTTATACTACTAGAAACCAGGTTTCGATACCCGTGGTGGGCGGAGCACAGATAGCCCATTGTGTAGCTTTGTGTAATTACAAACAAACCCCTTTGTTTTGTTATTTTTTATTGGTTAAATCTGAAACTTGCTCCTTTTTATTTTGTAATTTTTATTGGTTAAATCTGAAACATACCATTTTTGTGGAAATTTCTATTGTTTTATTTAATACTCAGCTAAAATACTGTCTAGTTATAAAAATATTACCCAGTTATGATTGGTGATGATCAGTGTGGTAATTTTCGAGATCCGAGTTTTGGACGTATACATCGCAAGTTCCATTATCATAAGATATAGATATAGCTAGCTTATACAATGGATTTACCAATACGAAGTAACATTACGATTTTGTAAAAACCTTTATGTAGCGACTACAAAGAAAAAAGTAATTACATTTAATAAAGTTACTAGAAAAATACCGAAGCTACATACCTGGTTATGAAAACTTTTGTCTTTGAATTTAAACTTAAAGTACACTGGATATTGGGAATCATCCTACATTAAGAGAAAACTCCAAAGCAGGATACAAATGATCTTGTACCCAGTAAAAGAGTAATATTTGTGCCCGGCATGGCCAGGTGGATAAGGCGCTCGACTCACAATCTGAGGGTCGCGGGTTCGAATCCGCACCCCACCAAACATGCTCGCCCTTTCAGCCGTGGGGGCGTTATAATGTGACGGTCAATCCCACT